GTCAGGGAGAGGGGCATCAAAAACAATCCCAGAATGCAGAACCAAGTGGAAAGCAGACATGCTCCCAGGCAGTGGAAGTACTGTGTACAAGTGATGCTGACAACTTGGGGGGAACAGCATGATTGTGCGCGTGCGTGCGTGCGTGCGTGCGTGCGTGCGTGCGTGCGTGTGTGTGTGTGTGTGTGTGTGTGTGTGTTAAGGCCTCTCTGCTCTATTGCCCCACCTAGGCCTGAAGGTCACTCAAATGAACTTTCTATCCTCTGGTCCTCCAGCTTCTGCCTGGCCCACTGATTCACTCTACTTGGTCAGACTAAGGCCAGCGGCTGCAGAGGCTCAGCTTGCTGGATCTTCTGAGCTTTGAAAGGGAAGGCATGGATTCATTTGGTTCCTGTAGCTCTGATCTCCCCCTCCCCCAATTAAAAAAAATTAACAACTTGCTCAATGTTCGCTGACTGTTGAAAACTTACCTGCAGCAGAAGGCATGATGGGTGGTACTGCAGTCAACAGGCCGAGGGACAGGGAGACCTGTGCAGGATGGTAGCATGTCTGAGGTCATGCTCTCAATGTGGCCTTTTAGAATTTTTTAAAATAATGTGTTGTTTGTTTTGAGCCTGGAACTCAGCAGCAGTCCATCCGCCTTACCCTCCCATGAGTTGGGATTACAGGCTGGAGACACTTTGCCCAGCTTTAGAGAGTTTCTAAAAGAAGGCCTACGTTTTCACTTTGCTCTGGGCTCTGGAAATTCAAAAAATTCCATTTTGGGGCCAGGCAGTGGTGGTGCACACTTTTGATCCTAGCGCTTGGGAAGCAGAGGCAAGAGGATCTCTGTGAGTTCAAGGCCAGCTTGATACAAAAAGTGAGTTCCAGGACAGCCAGGGCTATACAGAGAAACCTTGTCTCAAAAAAATAAACAAAACTAAAACAAAACAAAAAAATCCCATTGTCAATGGAGGAAAGGGTAATCCACTTAGAGGGAGAACACAAAATGCTCCAAAGAAGGGAGCCCTTGACCCAGGGAAGGGAGGAGCTATGTAGACAAAGCGCTGAGGTGGACAGTCTGGAAGGCTGATCTCACAGCAGGGGTCTGAGTCTGACTGTGAGTGCATGTGGCTGTGTAAGTAAGGTGTGAGTGTGTGTGAGTGTGTGTTCCTCAATGTATGGCCTCGGTGAGTGTGACTTGTAGTGCCTGCAGTGCCCGAAAGTATGCATGATGAAGGATTGTTTTGAGTGTGTGACTGTATGTAAGTGGTGTATGGAATTCTGTGATGTGTGTATGTGTGCGGTGACTGTATGCTGGTGTAAGTGGTGTGTGGAATTATGTGATGTGTGTATGCATGTGGTGACTGTACGTTGGTGTAAGTGGTGTATGGAATGTGATGTGTGTATGTGTGTTGACTTTGTGGCATGAGTCCCGTGTGTCTGTGCACCTGTACACAGGGAGCTACCAGGGCAGGGACCCTCGCAAGGCAGTTTGATGGTCACTTATGAAGCACTCCTCTGTGCTAGGAGCTGACATTGTAAGCTTCTTTAGTGGAGCTGGGACCGAAGTGTACAACAGACAGACGGGATAAAAACAAAAACAAAAAACCACCTAGAAAAGTTCCTACTTTGAGAGAATTGAGATGCACAAGGTGTTGACTAATGCCAAAAGGCCCAGCACAGCAGTCAACAAATTCATCTTTTCCCAGTGGTGAAAATTCAGTGAAATAGCCATCCTATCATTAATTAATGTAACAACAACAACACCACCCCAAAATCCTCTCACTTCACCTCCCTCCAGGAGTAGCTGCAAAGCCAGAATGGGAGGGTGGGGCTGTGGGATTCTGGGAACCATTCAGAGTAAGTATGACAGCCAACCCAGCCCCCACCCGCCCCCAGGCCTGGGCCCACTGGGCACACCCAAGCCCTGGAGTGTTGACCTCTCCGTGACCCACCCAGTAACACACATGATCCCACAGAAAGTTGATAAGAGGTGACCAGCTCAGGGCAGAATATAAACAGCCCCACCCAAGACACACCTAGAGGACCCAGGGCAGGTGGCAGAGGACAGGATGGCCCCTGGACTGGTGAGACTTGGGATAAGTGTTCTGGCTTCCACAGAGAGCTGAGAAATGCCAGCCTCCGGGTTTGCAGGACACCACATGTCCTGTTGGGTAGAGGGAAGAGAGAAATACTGAGGGAAAAGATTCGGGTAAGAGATACTTCCCAGAGGCTGGGCATGGCAACCTTTAGAGGCTGGAGCAAGAGGATCAAACAATTTGAAGCTAGCCTGCGCTTCATAATGAACTTGGGTTGTTAGTCTGTGGGTCTATAGAGTGAGAGCCTATCTCAAAAGTAAATAAATAAATAAATAAATAAGCAAAACAAAACCCTGGAAGAACCCCACCACTTGGGAAGCTGAGGCAGGAGGATCAATGCTTGTTCAAGGCAAGCCTGGGCTACAACATGGAATTCTAGACAGGTTTGGTTATAGAGTGAAACTATATCCTAAAAGGCTGTCCCTGAGGACTCTGCCCCAGGCCCAGGCAGGAATGCCGGGTTTCTGGTCCCTACACTCTCACCTGACCAGTGACAGTGAGGCGGCTTTTGCTCCCATCAGTGAAATGGGACACCTGGTCTTCTTGGGGGGGGCTGTGGGGTGGACCCCTTGTGATAGTGAGATGAGGGAAGCACCTTCCAAACTGAGGAGAGCAGGACAAGGGACTGGTCCGGCCTCGGGAGCAGCTGCCTCAGCAGGGTTAGAGGTTGGGCAAGCTTCTCAACCCTCTTGGCCCACACATACCTAAGAGGTGAGGCTCCCCTCGGAGGTCTCCTCTTTGGAGCTGAGAAGACTGATGCCCTAGGGAAGCATGGCAAGGACAGCCTCCTCCCCCCCAAACCCCTCTGCTTTTCATTAGGGGAGCTTCGTCAACAAGAGATTGTGTTGTCTCTTTAAGGGAGGAAGGACTCCACAGACAGCTCAGCGGAGACTAGCAGTGTGCCCTCCCGCACATACAAATGAGGTCATTGTTTGGCCAAGTGGAGCCCAAGCTTCCCCAGCTAGGTGGCCGCCACAGCATGAAGCCTGCCTCCCTGCTCTTGCCAAAATGGAAGGACGTGTTCCAAAATGGCTCCAGAAGATTCTAGAGGCTTTCACCACGCCACTAGACTCTTCATCCCACCTCCCCGACTTCTTCCCTAGAGCAAGCCCCATTTCCAGACCTAACACAAGCGAGCAGACGCTCCTCTTTTCAAGATTCCTCCTTTATCTGCACTCCTTAGGGAGTAGAACAGTCTGGCATTTCCAAGGCAACTAGGCGTTAATTAGCTCTCTTACGGAATGGCTTGGTGGGTTTTTATGTGTGGGCGTGTGCTGGGGGTGGGGCACAGGAGTATGAAGAAAGAATCTCTCTGCATAACCCTGGCTGGCCTGGAACTTTGTGGTCACCAGGCTGACGTCAAAACTCAACCAGTGGCAGGGCAGTGGTGGCGCACACCTTTGATCCCAGCACTCAGGCAGGCGGATCTCTGTGAGTTCGAGGCCAGCCTGTTTTACGAAGTTCCAGGACAGCCAGGACTGTTAGACAGAGAAACCCTGTCTCAAAAAAGGAAACCAAACAAACAAAAACAACCTCACAGCAATTCTCTTGCGTTGTTCCCCAAGTTCTGGCCTTACAGTCAAGTGAACTACCATGCCCCACCCTCAGCACTTCACTTTGTGTGTGTGGCAGTAGTTTCGTAGGAGGGTTACTAATGCCCTGGACAGACAGACAACAGCATGCCAGGGCTCTGAGGACAGTTCAGGTGCAAGCACCAGAGATGAGCAGCATGCCAGAGGCTCTGAAGAAATAGGGCCTCACATCGGGTTTTTGTTTTTGTTTTTTTTTTTGAGACAGGGCATCTCTGTAGTCCCAGCTGTCTGGAACTCCCTCTGTACACAAGACCGGCCTGGAATTCAGAGATCCACCTGCCTCTGCCTCCTCAGTGCTGGGATTAAAGGCCTGTGCCACTTTTTAAACATATAACTTTTAAGTTATAAACATATAACTTCCTTAACATTTCAATAAAATATTTTCTTTATTGAAAATATCCAATGAAACATTTTCTTTATTGAAAGGAAAATTTATATAACTCAGAGAGATCTAGGTGGTACAGGGCATGCCTTTCAACCCAGCACTGGGGTGGAGGGTTGGGGATAGGGGGCCAGACTGCTGACAGATCTCTCAGCTGGAGGCCAGTCTGGTCTGTACCATGAAATCCTGTCTCCTTGTCTCTAAATAATAAAACAACCAAAAACCAAGTTAGAGATGCTCCCAAGCCCAAGATAAAGAGTGGAGCCTAGAAACACCTATGGAATCGAACTCTCTGCGTCTATACTGGGATAAACTCTTTCTGAGAGAGAATGAAATGAGACTAAGTAGGGGGGCGGTGGCCTTAGCCCAGAGTCTGGCTGAAGACTTGGCTGCCAGCAATGATCACCTCCCATTCTTTCTCATCAAGCTCGCAGCTCCATTTTGTTTTGCTTTTTCACTTTACAAGATCCTATCTGTGATTGCATGTCGGTCACAAAAGCTAGGATTCAGATTACAGATCTTTAACATGCAGCCAATTTGGCTAGAACGCAAAGGCATCTGTTCACAAGGCTGGACTTGCAATTCTAGACTTCTTGGAGGACATCAGATCCAAACGCTCGTTGTACAAGAGGAAGCAGCCCTGAAGAAGGCAGATTTGGCCAAGGTCACTGAGCACGTGGTTGGTGACAGCAGGGTTTCTGAACCCATGTCCTTGCTAGTGCGAAGCCTTGGGTGCTCTCTCGGTAGTGAGAAGCCTCACCCATTTTCTTTGCTCTCTCAGCCTCCAACCAGCCCTCCAGCTACAGAAGTCCATACCCAGCCTTCAAGTACCTCTTTCTGCATGTTTATCTCTTCTCCCTCCCATCTCCATGCTGTATCCAATCCATAGCCCCAAATTTCAATACACAGTTCAGACCAAGGTTAGAAAAAGCCTAGAAGGCACTTTATTGGAGGCCTAAGCCTCCATTCACAGGAAAAGAGATCCAGGAACCCCATCTTGGGGGGTCTGGCATCACCCCACTTCTCACTGGTCCAGTCATAGGAGCCCTAGAACAGTCGATCTGGCCACCGGCATTCAGTGGGAGATCAGGGAGGGGAACGCTTTAGAAAAAATAGCTCTCTATGTACACCTGAAATATTTATAGCACATAAATTAGGGACACTCCAAGCCTCGCCTGTGGAGCCCGAGTACTGAGAGGTGGAAGTCAGTCCAGGAAGAAGTGCTGGAGAACACAGCCCTGTCCCTTCTGTACTCTCTCCCTCCCACAGTCTCCCCAGCCTCCTGGGCCCGAGTCCGGGCATCCGCAGGTGGTTCTCTTCTGCAGTCAGCGCTGGGACTGGAGGGAGCTGGCCTCACAGCTGTAGAGTCAGCGAACAAGTCACTTCAAACCCTGGGGCTTGTAATTCCAAAAGGAGGGCGAGGAGAGGCCACAGGCTGCACTTCAGGATCCAATACACCCCGCAGGTTCCTCCTCTCCACAGCAACACAGGGAACACATCCACATCAAGGGGGCCTTCCGGCCTGCCTGTCCTTCCAGGAAAGTTTCAGTTCTGAGTTCGTGTCTGAGTCAGGTCCGGGGTCCAGTCCTGACCCTTAATTCAGACTCTCTGTCACCTCTTCCTCTTTCCAGCCACTGGAGTTCTTGCCGAACTTGTAGACGAGGCGCCGGCCATCCACCCGTTCCAGGATCTCGCGTTTGTAGTAGTACCTGAGTGGGAGGAAGGTGGTCGGTCAGAGAGGGCCAGGCAGGAGACGTGCCATGCGCGAGGTTCCCCTGGCTTCGCCGCCCTGAGCCTTCCTCCGTCCCACCTGCTGTGGCCACACTGGTCTGTAATTACGGCCCAGCACCTGTTTCTGTTTCTGCATTAACGTCCCTGTGCCTTCTAGCTATGTCCTGGGGCTTTTCATGAAGGCACAAGAACACAGGGATGGGGGGGACGTTGGTGATGCTGAACTAGCCTAGCCCACCCTCTGGCAGGCAGGGCAAGGGAGCTGAGGTGCAAAAACACTGCCTTTTCTATCACACTCCAAGTGTGTCTTTCTTAGAACAAATCTGCAGAAACCAGAAATGTTAGCTGAAGCGAAGGGGCTCCGATGTCCGACTAACGCTTTCTTCATGCTTCAACTGACCAAGGAACCAACTAGGCCAACCCTGCCCTGTGGGCCTCACACCTGTCACGTGTAACCTGGAAGAAGACAGTGGGGTCCAACGAGAGGTCCTGGCGTCTGTCCCCACCAGATGCCAGGCACCAGCTCACCTCATGGCCCGGCTCAGTTTCTCATAGGTCATGTTGCTGTTCTTTTTCTTTTGGCCCCACAGTTGGGCCACGGCCTCTGAGCGGAGGAACTTGAACACACCCTCATGCCGGTTCTCCCACTTCATGAGGCCTTCGTTGAGCTCAGGGTGGATGAGAATGTCCCGAATGAACTCCCACAGATGAGTGCCTCTGGGGGCTACAAGGGAAAGAGCTCCTCAGTTGTTAGTCTGGGGCGCCCCTCTCCTCCAGGCCCTCTGGCCTCACCCATCTCAACCATGCTAAGAGCCAAAGCTATGACAGCCCTTTGAGAAGCACTGGGCAATGTCTGCTTAGTGATTGCTGTAGTGGCTATTTCCTTCTCTGCCCCCAAATGCAGTGTACTAGGCAGACTGCACAGAGCACACGATTCTCTCACCAGATAAAGACTCAAACACCTGGTTAAGATGGACAGAGAGACACTACTTTCTGTGGGGCTCAGGGATCAATGGGACCAACGTTGGGGAGGACTTGGCGCACATGGGGACAGAGAGTTGGCTATAGCCCGGAGGACCAAGGAACAGCTTCCTTTGGGGGGGGGGGGGGGACCAACCGGATCCCCTCAGGACAAGAATAAAAGCAGGCCATGAGTGCATGCATGCAGGCCTGTATGTATGAAAGAGGAGGCAAGCAAGACCTTTGGGGTGACCTCCAGGTGGCTCGGTGCAGCTGGAACACACAAAGCCCGAGGCGAGGCCCCTTCAGCAGGCTGTGCCTGGAGTGGCAGCCAGCCCAGCCCACTGGACTCTGAGCACCCGCCAGCTGCCTCCTCACCACCAGTAAGTTCCATCAGGCAAGACAGGGGCCAAGGACAAAACGTTAGAGAGGGAGTATGTAGGAAGCCCGGGCTCTCTCTATGAGCATCCCCCTAGGAGCCTCAGTTTCCCCTCTTCTCTGAGTCCAAGCAGGCCTCTGTAATGGGGTGATTGCTAGTGTCATGGAGCCCCCCAACTGTTCACAGAGGTAAGAAAGTGACCGAGGAAACTCCAGAGGCCCCGAGAAGGGGCAGGAGGAATGGAGTCCTCCGCCCACAGGCCCGCCGGCCGCCCCGAGAAGGGGCAGGAGGAATGGAGTCCTCCGCCCACAGGCCCGCTGGCCGCCCCGAGAAGGGGCAGGAGGAATGGAGTCCTCCACCCACAGGCCCGCCAGCCCCGAAAACGCACCATGCTTGCTCTTCTTGCCCTCTAGGCAGTCCCAGTACTCCTTGCTCAGCTTTCGTGGACGCCCCCGTTTCCTCTTCCCATGCTTGGGTTCCCCCTTCTTACAGTCAGGAAAGCCATCTATGGGAAGGGGTCGGAAGGTCAGCAGAAGGTGAGGGCCGGGCGTCAATGGGGAGGAGCCTTGCTATGGAAACCACAGCAGAGCAGAGGAGGATGGAAGAGAGGGGTTGGGCGCGGTGGACCAGGACCCCCCCGACAGACCAGCCCTCAACTCACCTCTAGGGAAGACCTTGCTGTCAGTGAGATCCAGGTCCAGGTCGCTTCCCCCGGAGTCACAGGAGTGGGAACTCTGGGGTGTAGCGGTTCCTGGGGGTGGAGAAGTCAGCTTGAGTACTGCCTAACCAGCTACTGTCTGCAGACTCAGGTGCTCGTTCTGGGGTGCCCGATGCACTCTGGGGCGTTTGGAGAAGGGAGACTAAGGCAAGCACAGGAGGACTCTTACCTGCAGTAGAGACATCAGAGCTACCAGGGGAGGGCGCTCCAGGGCCATAGCTACCGCCATAGTAGGGGCTGGCCTGGCGGCCATCATCCAACAGCTCCTGGGCAAAAGGGCTTCCTTGATCTGGGAAAAAGAAGTTGGAGCTTAGAGAGGCCCAGGGGACCAGCAAGGGACAGGTGAGACCACCCAGGGGCCTGGAGAACTGGCTATGGAGTGCTTTTCTTTCTAGTTGGGAGAGTATCTATCTCGCACTTTGGAAAGGTCGCAGGCGGGAAAGAGAAGCTGGAGAAAGAGGGGGAAAGAAAAAATGGGTTCTCACCAAAGGGGCCCGAGTCTCCTACGCCCTCCTGGAAGGCCATGCCATCTTTCTCCAGCAGCTCAATGATCCAGCTGAGTTCATCAGAAGAGCTGGAGGCTGGCAGAGGCAGGGAGGCGGTCACTCAGCACCTCTGGCCAGCGGCGGGGCTCGCTGGCTGTGCCCTCTAGCCAGGAGCTCCAAGTCCTTCCCAAGGCCCATCTTCCCTGGTCACTCTCTAGTTCCCGTGGCTCCCCTGGCCTGGACTTACTGAGGTCCCGAAGCTGGGCATGGAGCTGGTCTCCCAGAGGCCCAAAGACCAGCCGTAGCTCCTCAAGGGCACAGCTGCAGAGGGTGGCCCCATCCATATCACATCGCGAGAAGTCGATGGAACTGGCGTCGTATTTGTTCTTCTCCACTTGGTAGCTGATCCAGTCCAAAACCTGCGTCTTCGACCAGAACTGGGGCTGCTCCCCTGACCAGCTTGCCTTCTCTGAAAGGTGGAGTACAGCCAGAGGGTCAACACAGGACCCGGTTCTGATGTCCCTTTGGGATCTTGTCTGAGGTCCTACCCTACCCCTGGGGTGTGTGTGTGTGCAGGGGGTAATATTCACAATCATGATACCCCTGGTTTCAGAGTTTTCCTCAGTTTATCACAGTCCCTACCTACCCTATATTTCCCACCACCTCAGCCACTACAGGATTCTCAGGGGCTGGGAGCACAGTCTAGCATGCATAAGCTTTTGCTTGGTTGGATTCTTTCCCCAGCACTGCTCAAATAACTAAATGAATAAATTCTCCCCGGGCCCCTAGCCCTGGGGGTTCCCTTGGAGACCTTCCTCCCTCCCCATTTATCAAAGAACCTCTTAGACAAGTGTTCTATCTCGCAGATACCCATTGCACAGCACTCACCTGGACCGTCCAGCGACATCTGGGGGTTGTTCAGGGTGAACACCAAGTCATCTGTGCCAAAGGTAGTCGATGGAGGAGCGGGAGCCAGGGTGGGGTCTTCTGAACTGTACATGGCGTTGAAGTAGTTACTAAAAACGTTGCTGATCTCACAGGTGGCAGCCATGAGGCCCCCTGGGAAGAGGAGACAGGTTGGTGAGGGTGCAGGTCAAGGAGCATTTCCATTACTCTGTTCTGGCCAAGTCTGGGCAGCAACAGCCAAGAGGCAGGAAGGAGTTCGGTGTTGCTGTAGACATTCTCCCTTCAAAAAGCCCCTGAAGAACCAGCTATTTGGGAAGCTGAGGCTGGATGATCTCTTGAGCCTAGAAGCGCCAGGCCGGCCGGCGCCAAACTGGGAAATTCCGCTCCAAAAAAATTAAAAATAATCTCAAGCAGGGGGGAATCACGAGACAAACTCTGCTCGGGCTCCCTCCACAAATCACCTGGGCCCTTGAACCAAACAAGCCACCCTGTCCCTCCAAGACACTGATCTGGTCTCCGACCAGTCCCGGAACACCCCCGCAGCCCTAACACTCCCGGCTAGGGAGCTCCAAGCTAAAGTAAGTTCAGAATTGTAAATCCACTGGACGGTTCCCGGGACCGGAGTTAGGGAAGGTGACCCTACCGAGTGTCAGGGTTCGTTCGATGTGGCAGGCGGATAAGCAGGCTCCTGAGGCCACAGGAAGGGAAGAAATCTAGGTAACTGAAGGCTCCAGCCAGGTATCAAGTGATGAGTGTGGCTAGAGCGCTCCCCCACCCGCACCTAAATAGAGCAGTGCGCGAGCTCCTCCCCGCCAGGTCTTAGTGTGCGTCCCCAGTTGTAACCTGAGCTGGTGGCTCATTGGATGCAGGGGATTTCCTTCAGACCAGGCTCCCGGTCCCAGGTGATTTGCATATTCCGTGCCACTTGGCCCAGATCCTAGCAGGCGGTGCTGGGAAATCAGGCCTGGCTTGTTTAATGATTGTCAGAGTGTCATTCCGCACCCTCTGGGGTTGGGCCCTGGGTACTGGACTGGGCAGGTGGCGGGAACATTGCTGGGGTGGGCACATGTCCTTTAGGCGGCTCTCTGGCCCGGGAAATTCTTCCTGGGGGGCCAGACCAGGGCTGGATTAAGGAGAGGAGAGCAGGGTGAGGAATCTGAACCGGTGTCTGGGTCAGAACTGCATCTGTCTAGGTCTGGGGACAAAAAGGCCTATAGAATTTACAGAGAGTAAGGGATTTTCTCCACAACATCCAGAAACTGGGGAGCTGGAAGCCTCTAGGCGTTACACTGGGCCATATTCACGGTCCAGGGGTGGTTTGAATCTGCCAGTCTAGCCAGCCACAGGGCGTTTGGTGGCACTTTGCCTGTCTGGAGCCCACCCAAGCACGAATGGTTGTTCCGCAGTGGGAAAGATCGGGCGCTACTTCAAAGATCTAACATGTTGCCTGTGGCGTTCTAGCTGCCTAGGGTCGGCTGGAGGTGCTGGAGATCACATGGGTAAGCCTTCGTCTCATCTTCTAGTGATTACCCTTTTCTCGACCCAGTCCATCAGTATCTGCCTGCTGCCCTCTAGTGGTCAAAAGCCCAACACTCGGGTCATTACAGACAAAAAAGGAACTGTGTATGTTAATAGACTGTTCACCAGGTACTTAAAAAACAAAAACCCGGAAAGCGGTGGTACAAGCCTCTAATCTCAGCATTCGGGAGGCAGAGGCTGTCAGAGTTTGAGGTCAGCCTGGGCTACAGAGCAAGTTCCAGAACAGCCTGGGCTGTCTCAAAAACAAATAAACAAAAAAGAGGTGTTGGAAGTTGAGTCCGGAGCATCCTAGGCAAGCACTCTACAAATGGGCTCTGTATCCAGAACAGTTTGTTTTTTGAGACAGTGTTTCACTATGTATTTATAGGAGGCTGGCCTCAAACTCAAGAGATAGGCTGGAATTAAAGGTGTAAGCCGCCCTAACCGGCACAGAACATTTTAAACATAACAACCTTCATATAAAGACATTCAACAAGCACTGTAGGGCTGGAAAGACGGCTCAGTGGGTAAGGGTACCTGCTGCCAAGCCTGATGACCTGTGTCCCATCCACGATAAAGGGAGAGAACTAATTCCTGCAATGTGGCCTTCTGACCTCCATGTGCACATGTGCAAGTGTACACACACACACACACACACACACACACACACACACACACACACACACACTATAATATATATTTGGAGACAGGGTCTCTCTACATAGTCCTGGCTATTCTGGAACTATGTAGACCAGGCTAGCTTCCAACTCACAGAGATCCAACTGCCTCTGCCTCCCGAGTGCTGGGACTAAAGGCATGTGCCACTACATCTGGCTATAAATATAATTTTTAAAATACTGAAAAGCAGGGTTGGACATGTGTGGTAGTGGGTGTCTTTAATCCCAACCCTCCCAGGGTAGGTGAATCTTGTGAGTTCAAGGTCAAGCCTGGTCTACATTAAAAAAAGAAAGAAAGAAAAAGAAAAGGAAGAAAAAAGAAAAAGAAAATAAAAGGAAAAGGAAAAAAATGATGTGTAGTTGTCTTCATAAGTGGTTTGTTCTGGCTACAAATTAGGAAAATGACGAGATGTTGCTAGTGCCTTTTCCCTACACGCAGTGCCTCTGGCCGCAAACATCCCACTCAATGAGTCCCGCGTTATCAATGGCTCTTGGTTTCCTTAGCCCAAATACAAGGGACCAGCTTCGCAGATCCCTCTAACAATCCCTGAGTAGAAGCACCAGGGCAGCAAAAAGGCGGTAGGAGGTTCATACTTCAGCATCTGCATCCGGGTGGTCAAAGACAGTGGTTTCTGCACGTCAGTAAGAAGGAGGCGTCCCAGTCAGACGCATGTGCCTAGAGTCCTAGCTACTCAGGATGCTGAGGCAGGCACACTGAGTTTGAGGGTAGCCTGGGCAACTTAGTGAGACTAAAGAAACATTGTCTCAAAAACAAAGAGCTGGCAAGATGGTTCAATGGATGAAAGTATTTGCGGCACAAACCTGACGGCCTAAATTCAATCTCTAGAATCCACAGAAAGACAGGAAAGAAACGATTCCACAACATTATTCTGACCTCCACATGCGTGGCTGGTAGAGTGCTTGCCTAGCGTGCACAAAGCCCTGGGTTTAATCTCCAGCACCACATAAAGACATGCGTGGTGGCCTCTGAAGTTCCTGGGCTCAGGGTCAGTCTCAACTACACATAGAGTGTGAGGCTATCTCAGGCTACAGTAGACTCTGTCTCAAAAGCAAACATAAATGAGCAAAGAATGAGGGTAGGGAACTCTGTAGTCCCTTAGACCTCTTCCAGCCTCAGCTGTGCCTTGATTTCTGTTGCCTGAGGAGCCGGTCTAGGACACTGGATGAATTCAGCAAGTTCTCCACATTAAACCATCACTTTTTTCTGCATCTAAGGTACAGGATCTGGCTGGGCAGTGGTGGTGGTGGTGGTGGTGGTGGCGGCGGCGGCGGCGGCGGCGGCGGCGGTGGCAGCTCACACCTTTAATCCCAGCACTTGGGAGGCAGAGGCAGGTATATCTCTGAGTTCGAGGCCAGCCTGGTCTACAGAGTGAGTTCCAGGATAGCCAATACTACACAGAAAGTCCCTGTCTGGAAACACACATACACACACACACACACACACACACACACACGCACACGCACACGCACACGCGCACACACACACACACACACACACACACACACACACACACACACGATATAGGATCTGTGTCTTCTCCTCTCTACCCCATTTATGGACACACAACCCCAGATGGTTTTCAAACAAAAACAAAAGGTGATTCATGTTGCTTCTAGGTATCCCATGGTTGGAGGACCACAACCGACCCCCAGCCCCACAGGATCCACTCCCCGTCTTCAAAACTACAGGCTCCTTTCCACTAGGTCAGGGCTGCTGGAAAGCCAGGGGCTTTGGGTAGGATTTTCACTGGCCCTTCAGGGGACCTCCCCTAAGCAGCCTGAGGCAGACACACCCTCTACCCAGTCACTCACCCTGGAATGTGGGAGAACCAGCTCTTAGCCTCGGGGCTGCTCATGGGCTCCTTTCCCCTAAGAACACCTGGTTGGGTCTCCAGAGCAAAATGAGGAGGATGGCGGAGAATGAGGCCATCAGCTAGCAGCACCCTTCCCTTCGCAGAGCTTCTTCCCAGAGAAACAGAGCTATGGAAATCTTAGAGCTGGCGCACCCCTGAGTGTTCATTCCTTCACCAGCCAAACGGAGAAGTGAGAAAGAGTTGGATTTGAGGTCAGTGCTTTGGAAGGTTCCAAGACTATAGTGAGAGCAGCCGCAGGGCAGGGGAGGCAAGGGGCCTTCGCAATAGCCTGCCTATATGCTGAACAGGGCAGGAGAGCCTGACGGACGCCTTTCCCCAGAGATCCCTAGTAGCATAGCTTCATCTCCAGGATGGGAGGGTAACAAGCACGTTGTCTCCCAGTCCTGTCAGAGCACAAGCAGACCCAGCAGGACTCCACAGAGCCAAGACGGTGAGTGAGACAGGACACACAGCTCCTGATGCCCATGCTGTGAAATGTGCATGGACGCTGGGCAGTGGTGGCGCAAATGCACTTGGGAGGCAGAGCCAGGCAGAGCTCAGTGAGTTCGAGGCCAGCCTGGTCTACAAGTGAGTTTCAGGACAGCCAGGGCTACACAGAGAAACCCTGTCTCCAAAACAGACAAAACAACAAACCAAAAAGATCCTGACAGGTCTCAGGATCGACAGCACAGATGTGAAGGTTGGGGGCGGGGAGGCCACGGGACAGTCCTGAGAGAGACCAGCAGCAGCTTACTAGGGATTGCCAGTACCCCCTCATTCGATCTCCTGCGTCTTCAAATCCCTGTCCTGGAGCTCACAGTTGCCTCTGTTGGGGAGGCTGGACACACTGTGAGTCAGGAGCACTTTCCTGGTTTTTTGGTTGTTTTTTTTTTCCCCCTGAGACAGGGTTTCTCTGTGTAGCCCTGGCTGTCCTGGAACTCACTCTGTAGCCCAGGCTGGCCTCGAACTCACTGAGATCCTCCTGCTTCTGCCTCCCAAGTGCTGGGATTAAAGGCGTGTGCCACCACCGCCCGGCACATGGTCCCATTTACCACCAGGCTTTGTGAAAGATGGAACCTCAGCTCTTCCTCCACCTCTGTGTAGGGAAGGCAAAGCCAAAGGCGGAGCCAAGGATGGAGACTGGGTCACGGGTCCCTGTGCTTAGGGAAGACAACTTCAGTTCACCTTAGCATTCACTCAAACCCTCTCGTCAGCCATCATCTTACTCTCGAGCCCTGGCGCTAACTGCGTCAATCTCCATGTTGAAGCCAGGAAATAGCAGACCCCGCCAATCACAACCATTAAAATAGTGACTGAAGCTGGGGTAGAGGAGGCCTAGAATGCCCCAGGGACTTGATGGAGGACACAGAAAGCATGAGGACACCCTGTGCTTGTGGGCAACACATGACACAGAGGGGACCCCAGCAGGAGAAGTTTAACAGTGACTTTGCCTCCTGCCTATAATCCCAGCACTCAGTAGGCAGGAGGATCTCCGCAAGTTTGAGCCTGGTGTATACAGTGAAATCCAGGCCAGAAAGGACTACATAGTGATTATCTCTCTCTCTCTCTCTCACACACACACACACACACACACACACACACACACACACACACACACCATTTCTTTAAAGAGACAACAGAAATAAAAACAAATGATCCAGTCTATAACTGCCACGTATCTACTTCTTGCTTAAAAACATTTATTTGAAAAGACAAAGAATGAAATTTTACTCCCTGCAGCCTGGGCTATAGGGAGCATGGAGAGGCCTTCTAGCCTCAGAACTCTCTGGACCAGAAAGAAGTTCCCCACCGGGGCAGAGACCCAAGTGTCACGGACACCTAAGCCCAGAGAACAGATAGGTGATCCAAGAGAACAGAAACTGCAGGACACTGACTTGAGAACTCAATTTTGGGAAAGAACAATTCTTCAGAAAGCCTGTAAGGCCCACGAGGCAGAGACCATCCACATGAGCCTTTAACTGCTCTTGGGCACCAGGATCTGCTTGATGTAGTTGACCACGTTGCTGTGGAGCTGGGAAGCAGTGGCCTCAAAGGTGTCCTTGGCGAGGGTCCGGGCCGTCTCGCTGCCACTCATCATGGCGTGGTACAGTGGGAGCGTGTACTTCTGCTTCCCCTGTAAGAAGCACAGACACCTCTCCTCAGTAGCTTGCTTAGTGGGTCTGCCCAGCCCTCCTCCCCTGACAGCAGTCATGGTCTGAGGACAAAGGGGATGTGGGGGTCAGAGCTGGAATGAAGTGCCTCTCTGTCGGAAGGACTGATTTTGGCATCTTCTAGGGGGTGGAGAACAGTCCTAGGGAAATAAATTTCAGCATGAACCCCAAATCATGGCAACAAGGGACCTTTTACAAGAACCAAACAAATGAGCTGGGTGGACGCAACGGGACTGCAAACTTTTGGGAAGCTGGAGGCAGTTAGTCATCAAGGTAATGACAGCCAAAAACCAGGGTCATGTAAGGTCCATCCATAATGAAGCCAAATCCCCACGAGTCAAATTCACGTAACTGTACGGCAGCTGCATGGCAAGCTCCCGAGCCCCAGAGGCTTGGCCAGCGGTCAAAGGGCTCAAAGAACCTCCCACAGACTTCTGGTTTCCCCTTCACACAGACTGCACTCTAGAGGAAGTCACCTGGGCATTGCTTTGGATCCAGCCAGTCCCTCATTGCCCTGGAGTCGGAGGATGTTCAGTTTATCACGAGAGCCTTGTGCCCTAGAGGGCTGCTCTCACAGGGATCCACTGGTGTCTGAACTGCTACCAAGTCCCAGAACTCCTCCGGAGAGCAGGGACCTAGCCCTTCACTCACCTAATTTGTCCTTTTGCATGACCAGCCCTCACATTACCCATTTCCCTTTTCCCAGTCTCCGGTTAGCTCTAACTGCCTTCATCCCCTTCGGCTTCACCAGCTCATCTCCAAAAGGCTCCTCAAGCCTGGAAACTTCTCATCCCCCAGGACACAGCCTCGGGGAATCACACCCACACCGGCACGATCAGGAGGTCCTTCAGGGGCCAGGCCCCACTTCCTCTGAAGGGCAGACCCACAAGCCTCTCGCAGGCCTGCAGGAAGACCTCAGGTATGATAACGGAGGTCCACAGCCTGTCCATGAGGGGACCAGAGATGTAGTAATTACCCACCTGGCTCTGCAAGAACTCCTTCACTTTCCAGAACTCTTCTTGGTGGTCATTCTTAAGGATGATCTGGCCCCATCGGAGCCGTAACTCAGCATTCCGGGCATTGGAGATCTTTGGGTATGTCTCTCCAAGTGTCTTCACATTCCCTAGAAAAGAGAAAGCAAGGGGTTGTTAACGGCCGGCTGAGGAGCCCAGAAGACTCACTGTCAGCCACCGAGTGTCTGTCCCCCTGCTCTCCAGAGCACTGGCCGGAACAGTGAAGTTCCCTGACCACCCACCTTTACCATCCATCCTGCTCCTGTATCTGGCTCGGGGATGCTCCAGTACCACATGCACCTTAATTTCTAAGGCTCTCCCATAAGACACCCCTTAATTTTACTCTGAACTTCCTGTTCTTTCCCTCAAATTCTCTCCTACCATTATGCTAATAAATTTGGATCCAACTTTGAAATGTGAGTATGTTCAGTTAATTTTTCTGAGGATGAAAACCCCTATGTGCTAAAAGGCGACAATCACGGGGATTTGATGACTATTATTTCTGACCAAACAACAACAAAGCATCCAGTGGGTGAGATGATGGGGCTGGAGAGACGGCCCAGAGGTTAAGAGTGCCTGCTGCTTTTCCGGAGGAGCCTCGTTCAGTTACCGACATCCACACCAGATGGCTCATAACCACCTGTAACCCCAGCTCGAGGGGATCTAACACCTTTTCTGGCCTCTGCAGGTACCCACAGACATGGGACAGATAGACACACATACTCTTAAGTAAAAATACATCTTTAATTTTTTTTGTACATTTTATTTTTTTTTATTTTACAATACAGTTCAGTTCTATATATCAGCCACAGATTCCCTGTTCTCTCCCTCCCGCGCCCCTCACGTTCCCCCCAGCCCACCCCCTATTCCCACCTCCTCCAGGGCAAAGCCTCCCCCGCGGACTGAGATCAACCTGGTAGACTCAGTCCAGGCAGGTCCAGTCCCCTCCTCCCAGGCCAAGCCAAGCGACCCTGCATAGGCCCCAGGTTTCAAACAGTCAACTCATGCAATGAGCACAGGACCCGGTCCCACTGCCTGGATGCCTCCCAAACAGATCAAGTCAATCAACTGTCTCACCCATTCAGAGGGCCTGATCCAGTTGGGGACCCCTCAGCCATTGGTTCATAGTTCATGTGTTTCCATTCATTTGGCTATTTATCCCTGTGCTTTATCCAACCTTGGTCTCACATCTTTAATTTTTAAATGAAAAGGAGTTTGAATGACTAGGCTCAAATCCTAGGCCAATCATTTACTGTTGTGCGGGTTATTGGCGCCTTTCTGATGTAATCTCTATTACCTGGGTTTAAGATCATAGCATCCCAATCACAGAGTAATCCTGAGATTAAAGGGTCCAATAGAAACAGTTTATGGAGTGCCCTGCCGGACCTGGAGCCTGATGAATGACAGGCTTTGCTAATTTGTTCCCAGTGGCACTGGTATGTATAACCTGTGCTGTTCTGATGACATATTCTTATGAGGTATCAGCCTCCCTTCTACACTGGAGCCACTTCGAGGCACTATCCCTTCTGAATCTCGCTCTGGCCTCTGACATGAAGCTCTGCACCCAAGAAGCCTGGCTTCAGCGTGGTAAGGAGGTAACCCACTGTCCTTACCGGGTGGGAGAGGGGACTTCTGCAGGATCTTGTCGAGGAAGTAGACAAGCTGGTAGGTCTTCCAGGTAGAGATGGATACAGCTTCAATGGCTTGCATGTCTAGCTCTGAGGTCACCCACAGCTCAGCCAGCTCTTCAGCTGGCTTCATGAGTGAGTCCCCAGGGGAGAGGTCAGGGAGGTAGGGGGGCCAGCCAGGGGTGTTCAGCCATCGATCAAACTCAAAACCTCGTGGGTAAAAGAAAAGAAGACACCGTCACGACTCTCCCAACAGTCAACGCGCTCAAGCAATTCCCGGGGCTTGCAAGCCCCGTCCCCCATCCTAAATCACCCCCTACTTGGTGTCACTTGTCCCAGCAGGATGGACAGCATCTGGAGGCTGCCACAGTAAGACTAGACTATGCCTGCTTCTACTGTGAAATGCTGCTTGCTTTAAAAGTAACATTCTGTCACCAGGTGATAGACAGCTCCTAATTGTAGGCCAGTTGATGCTTTCCTCTCCATCACAGGGGCTGGTGCATTAGCACCAGGGCCCCAAGCCCGAGCTGCCTGGCTTCCCAAACTAGCACTGCTATAACTATCTGGGAGGCCGCGGGCCTGTATTTTCACTTCTTGGCGCCTCAGTTGTTTGTAAAATGGGGGGTTGCTCGGCCCTACCTTAGTTGACAGTCGTAGATTAAATGAGCAAATACACATTAAAAGCTTAGTGCACGGCCTGGCGCATAGTAAGCACTCAGTAATTATTAACTATTGTTCGTCAGAGTCTCATGACCTTGAAATTTGGGCCTCCTACCAACGACCCGGTGCTACCGAGACAGAAACCGACTTTACCAAACCAACCAGAGTGATTCAGAGTTCACATCCCGACAAGGGGTGTGTCTCACGGCCTGTCTGGGTCACAGCGAGGCCATCCTCTCTGTTCATGGAGGAAGCAGTCAGTGCCTTCCTTGCTGACAGCAGAGCAGCTGCCAGGATTCCCCTTTGCTCCCAGGGCCTAAGGAGACCTCACCATGAGCTCAGGGCAGAGGTGACGGCCCCTGTTGCTCTCCTGCTTCTGATTTGGGCAGCAGAGGTCACAACAGCCCTCAGGCAAGAACCAAGAAGTCAGCCTGTCTCTGTTTCTCTTTCTTCCTGAGACAAGGTCTCACGTAGCGCACGACGGCTGTGGACTCACTGTAGCCAAGGGTGGCTTCTCAACCCTGGTCCTCTTGTCCCTACCTCCCAAATGATGGGGTTACACTCACGCCCAAAATTTTTTTGACTTTCTATGTTCTGACTTAACTCACCATGGAACCCAAACTGGCTTTAAAGTTATGGCCGTCGGCTGCCTCAGGCTCTGAAGTGCTTAAGTTCAGCTTAAAAACAGGCTTTTCATTTGCTTTTGTGTTTCAGTGCTGGGGGTCAAACCCAGGTCCTCATACATGACAAGCAAGTGCCCTACCAACTGAGCTACATTGCCAACTCCCTCTTTCTGGGGTTGAGCCAGGGCCTTGCATATACTCGACCTGTGCACTACCATGGAACTCTACGCCAGCCCCACCGCGAGTCATTCTGGGGTCCTGGGCTGGCTCTCCAAATGCTGCTTGAACAGGAACCCATGACTTGATGGCTTCCCATCTCACCTTGCTCATTCTCTGCTGCGTCTTGGAAGCCAGCAGTCCAGTTCCCCTGCTTACCTGGAATGGAATCTACTCCCTTCTCCTTCAGCTCAGGGAAATACTCCAGGTAGAATTCCAGAAAATCTTCAGCCATGATACTTTGGAATTTAAACTCATCTACATAGGCCTGTGAGGAGGGAAGTGGTTTAGCCTCTGTGGCCACCCTGGGGAGCAGACCCCCCCCCATCTCTCAGGCCCTCCCTGACCCTTACCTCTGGTGCCCCCTGACTCCACCCTCGCACTCTGGCCCAGCGCTTTATCTGCTCCTTGTCTCTCTCCTGTCGTGGAGAGTTGACTGTACCTTGAGAAACTTGTCAAACCGATCCTGATCGCCCACCAAGTGGGCCAGGTATGAGACAAAGCAGTACCCTTTCTCGTAGGGGGTCTCATTGTAGGTGTCATCGGGGTCAACACCTGGCAGAGGAGAGAGCAGACAGGGCTGAGTGTTCGTAAGCACCTCTTGTGTAAGCACCTCTGGCCTCCGATTACAGGCTAACAGTTGGAATTGCTCAGACTATACCTCTCCCAGGTACAGCCAAGGTTTCCTGGTCACTGATGGTCTCCCATAGCACTTCAAAGGTAATAGCGTGAGGGCCAGTAACTATGGATCTAAGAAAAGGCCAGTGGTTCAAAGGGGCTGGCACATTTCCTCGGACAGGGCCTTCAACTAACTCTTAGGGCTAAACACGCTCAGACTTTTCAAGTCCTGTTGGTCACCATTTACACAGTCAACCTCTCGGGCGTAGTTTTAACAACTGTTCTAGACTAGAGCTAATTACCAGGGTACAAGAAGTTCGTTTTACAGGCAGGTGGCACCAAAGAACACGAGCTTCAGTTGCACAAAAGGGTTTTAGGTTAGTCACACATGAAACTGGAAAAAAAAAATGTTAGAAAGCAGGAAGTTCTGAGCTGACAGGTGCATGACCTTGGGCAAGTCACTGGATTTGCCTGGTTCTGGGCCTGTCATCTGTAAAATGAGGCTAACACTCTTTAGAAGCCTCACTTTGGAGACAACAATTAAAAGGAACCGGAGAGCAACGGGCTTGTCATTAAGTGGCTGAAATGGTTGGACTCGGCCAGCCTGCAGAACGGGGATGGCCAGAGCACTCCAGTGGCCCACTTCTCCAAGAAAGCATTCCAGCATGTGGCCCGGACTAACTTGGGGCTCCAAGCGTAATTTACTGGAGGGGGGGAGACAGAGGAGCCTTCTGGACCTGGTTCAATCTTCACCCGCAGCTTGTTGAGCGGGTTTTCCTCTCCGGAGACGTCCATGTGCTGCCGAAGCAGAGCTCGCCCTGTTGCAGCCTCCAAGCATGTGTAAGCAGCTCCTGGCCAAAGACAAACCACAAACCCCGAGGTCACCATGCCCACGTTCTCCAGACAGAGGCGCTGTGCAGTCTCCTCGGGGTGTCAAAGGCGTTCCCTTCCAGGGTGTCAGGGAACAAAGTGACTCAGCCTCTAGCTCTTGGGCTTTCTGAGCTACAGAGGTTTGGTTAACCTGACCTGTGTGTCTTTCCCACAAACATTAGGGGAGATTTTCTTTGTCCACAGGAATTTTTTTGTTTGTTTGTTTGTTTTTGGTTTTTCGAGACAGGGTTTCTCTGAGTAGTTTTGGTGCCTGTTCTGGAGCTTGCTCTGTAGACCAGGCTGGCCTTGAACTCACAGAGATCTGCCTGGCTCTGCCTCCCGAGTGCTGGGATCAAAGGCGTGCGCCGCCACCGCCCGGCAGGAATATATTTTTATTTTCAGGTAACAATTTGGTTTCTGTGAAACTTAAAATATTTTTCCTCTGATGATCCTATCGCAGAAAAGAAACCGTCACCTTCAAAAACCTCAATTGTCTAGGCTGGGTATGGTGGCACAGGCCTTTTTTCATCCGGCTCCAGGGAGGCAGAGGCAGGTAGCTCTCTGTGAGTTTGAGGCCAGTCTGGTCTACATAGTAGTGAGTTCCAGGCCATCCAGGGTTACATAGTGAGACCCTGTCTCAAAAAAAGAAAAGAAGCCGGGCGGTGGTGGCACACGCACTCGGGAGGCAGAGGCAGGCGGATCTCTGTGAGTTCAAGGGCAGCCTGGGCTACAGAGTGAGTTCCAGGACAGCCAGGGCTACACGTAGAAATTCTGTCTCGGAGGGGTTAGGGGAGGGGTTAGGAAAGCAAAGAAAAATAATTAAGCATCTTTTAAGTTTTCTCCTGGCTTTAAAGATAGTAACTCGAGGCCGGGCGGTGGTGGCGCACGCCTTTAATCCCAGCACTAGGGAGGCAGAGCCAGGCGGATCTCTGTGAGTTCGAGGCCAGCCTGGGCTACCAAGTGAGTTCCAGGAAAAGGCTCAAAGCTACACAGAGAAACCCTGTCTCGAAAAACCAAAAAAAAAAAAAAAAAAAAGATAGTAACTCGAGTCGGGCGGTGGTGGTGGTGGTGGCGGCGGCGGCGCACGCCTTTGATCCCAGCACTCGGGAGATAGAGGCAGGTGGATCTCTGTGAGTTTGAGGCCAGCCTGGGCTACCAAGTGAGTTCCAGGAAAAAGCGCAAAGCTAAACAGAGAAACCCTGTCTCGAAAAACCAAAAAAAGGACAGTAACTCAGGAGCCAGGGGCATGGTTCAACGGGTAAGAGTGCCTGTCACCAAACCCTATTACCTGAAGTCACCAAGACTCATGACAGAGAGAACTAACTCCAGAAAGCTGTCCTTTGACTTCCACACAAACACTGGGTACATGCACACACACACACACACACACACACACACACACACACACACACACACACACTTCAACTCTGCCGCTTACCACATGTTCTGACTCTGAGCCTCCCCAAGCCTCAGTTTTTTCTTCTGCATAATGGGAAAATCAAAGCTGTACCACTGGATTCTAGTACTTGAGCTCTGGTGAGCTAAACTCACCATTGTAGCCCATGCTGGCCTTGAAGTCAGAGGTCTGACACCCTGTCCAGATTGTTTTTTGGTTTCTCTCTCTCTCTCTCTCTCTCTCTCTCTCTCTCTCTCTTTAAGTGTGTATGGATACTTCATTTGCATGTACCTCTGCACACCAGAAGAGGGCATCAGACAGCTGTGAGCCACCATGTGGGTCCTGAGAATTGAACTCAGGACCTATGGAAGAACAGTCAGTGCTCTTAACCACTGAGGTATCTCTCCAACCTCCTCCCCCCCACTTTAAAGACAGGGTCTTGCTAGACGACCCAGGCTGGCCTCAAACTTGTGACCTTCCTGCTTTAATTCCCAGTGCTGAGGGTGCAAAAGTGTGAGTCACAGTGCCTGGTTCGCCACAGGATTCTTAGTGGCTGACGAAGACATTCACAAACAAAATCTTGCTCTGTATACTTTGAATAAGAATACAACTCTGTTCAAACTTTTTGGCAAGTAAAAGATAAAACACACTAAAAGTCTTTATGCTTTTAGTCCCAGCACTCAGGAGGCAGAGGCAGGCGGATCTCTGTGAGTTCGAGGCCAGCCTGGTCTACAGAGCGAGATCCAGGACAGGCACCAAAACTACACGGAGAAACCCTGTCTCGAAAAACAAAACAACAACAACAACAAAAATACTTCTTTATTCTCTTCTTTTTGAAACAGGGTCTTGTGTAGCCCAGGCTGGCCTCACTCACTAACCCTAGCCTTCTGTCCTACCTTTTGAGTGTGGAGATTGCAGGCATGTACCATAGTGCCTAGTTTTATACCTGGCACAGAACCCAGAGACTTGTACATACTAGGCAAGGACTCAGCCACTGAGCTATCGAACTTTATTACCCGCCCCTGCGTGGTCCCCCCCACACACACACACATTGAGTGCTGAGGATCAAACCCAAGGCCTTGTGCATGTTAGGCAATCACTCCACCAAATTTATTACTAGCCCAAACTCAATTAAATTTAATGAATGTATTAAATTCTTTTTTCTTTAATGTTTTTATTTATTTTTTGTGAATAAAAAAGAATTTTTTTTTGCTTCCAAGACAGGGTTTCTCCGTATAACAGCTCTGGCTGTCCTAGAACTTGCTTTGTAGACTAGGCTGGCCTCAGACTCAGAGATCTGCCTGCCTCTGCCTCCCAAGTGCTGAGATTAAAGGTGTGCTCCACTACGCTTGGTGCAAATTAAATTTTTTTAAAATATTATTATGGGAGCTGGAGAGATGGCTCAGAGGTTAAGAGCACTGACTGCTTTTCCAGAGGTCCTGAGTTCAGTTCCCAGCACCCACATGGTGGCTCACAACCAATAATGAGATCTGGCACCCTCTTCTGGCCTACAGGGACACATGCAGGCAGAACACTGCATACATAATAAATAAATAAATCTTAAAAAAATCTTCCTAAAAACTATATTATTATGGTTTAAAATCATAGATGTGACTCAGGAATGATACAGCATTTGTCTTTAATTCCAGACCTCAGGAGGCAGAGGCAGGTAAATCGCTGGTCTATATAGTGAGTTCCCAGGCCAGCAAAGGGTGCAGAGTGAGACGCTGTCCCAAAATAATAACAAACCAACAAAACCCATAGATGTTTGATCTTTCATACTTATATATAGAAAGTGAGCTGGGCATAATGGCACACATCTCTTATCCCAGCATTTAGGAGGTAGAGGCAGGAAGAATGCTGTGATCTGACCTGTTCTACATAGTGAGTTCCAGACCAGAAGAGCCTCACATAGCAAGATCTTGCCTGATCTCAACCCCCATCACCACAGTTCTTGAGGTTGAACACAGGGCTTTGTGCATGCCAGGCAAGCACTTCCCCAACTGAACTAATGAACTATGTCCTCAGCCCAAGACCTGTCTCAAAAAAGCCCCAAAGTGCTGGGCATCATGGTTCCCACCTTACAGGCTGAGCAAGCCAGGAAGCAGCACCCCTCCATGACCTCTGCAGCAGCCTCCAGGTTCCTGCCCTGTTTGAGTTCCTGTCCTGACTTCCTTCAATGATGGACTATGATGCGGAAGTGCATTAAATTCCCTCATATTATGTGAAAATAAATAAATAATAACTAAATAGAAGAGAAAAAAAAGAAAGCAGACTAGTAGTTGCTAGAGGCTTGAGGGAGGGCGAATGAGAATTGACAGCTCATGGATATCAAATGTGTCTGGGGATGATTGAAGCATTCTGGAATTAGGGTCAGCAAGATGGCTGAGCAGGCAAAAGAGGCTTAACACTATACTCGACCACCTGAGTTTGAGCCCAGGGCCCTCCATGGTGGAAAGAGAGAACCCACTCTGTAGTTGGAAGTTTTCCTGTGTCCTGGCTGGCTGCACCACTCCCACGAGCTGGCACCTGACTTACCCTGGTGCGTGAACATACATACACGCAAACACAGAGAGAGACAGAGCAAGACAGATCGAGAGGAATTATTTTTTTTTTAAACTAAGGGACCAGAAAGATGGCTAGTGGATAAAAAGTACATGAGCCTGATGGCCTAAGTTCAATCCCTGTGACCCACAAAAAGGTGGAAGGAGAGAAGTGACTCCTCAAAATTGCCCTCTAACCTCCACACACACACACCATACGTACAACAACTGAATAACTAAAGTCAAACTAGTCTAGATTTAGGTAACACTGAGTTTAAGGCCAGCCTATGTTATAAGAGATACTAACATTAAAAAAAAAAAAAAAAGCCCCAAAGTGCTGGGCGTCATGGTTCACACCTTTCATCCCAGAACTCAGGAGGCCATGGCAGGCAGGTAGGTGGTCTATGTGAATTCAAGACCAGCCCCCTGTGAGGTCTGTCTCAAATAACAACAACAACAACCACCAATAAAAACAAAACAAAATGAAAAGGGGCGGAGAGACGACTCGGCAGTACTTTCTGGTCTTCTAGAGGACTCAGGTTTGGCTCCCAGCACCCACGTCAGGCAGCTCACACCTGACTAACTCCAGATGCCTCTGATCCCCAAGGGCGCTTGTTCTTGAGTGCAGGGACCCACGGGCAGACACACATCCTTACATACAATTTTTAAAACATAAGTGAAGAAAAAAGAAAAAGAAAATAGAGAAAACAAAATAGAATCTATTTTGATTGTCCTGAACACTGAAATTACAGATGGATTTTCTCTTCCTTCCTATGCTTTTCCACACACGCCACACAGATCTTGTTTAAAATTAATAATAAATGTTCTACTGCTTAGAGCATGTAATAGACAGTAGCCTCTGATTAATTCACTAATGAGACAGCAGAAAAGCTTTGGTCTCTTTTCTTTAAGCACGTGTATGGCTGGGCACATGACTCAGCAGAGGCCCAGGAAGCCTTGGGTTCAAGGCTTGTCTATGACTACATAGGGAGTTTGAGGTCAGCCTGGAATATATGAGACCCTGTCACTAAAACAAAGAGAGCCAGAATGCACGTGTAGCATGGCAACCAGTGATGATCATGGCTTTATGTTTCACTCATAAATCAACCAGCCATCTGGGATAAATGACACTGGGTACTCTCACCTGGGAGCTGTGTCTCTTGGGGACACTTTGGCATCCAGTGTGACCCCAGCGTAGAGAGTATTTTCATTGCCAACTCACCCATTAGTCCAGTCAGGCAGTTTAAACCACAATGCTTGCAGTGGCACACAGTGGAATGGGAATTCTTAATTTAAAAATAGTTTCCAGGCTGGAGAGATGGCTCAGCAGTTAAGAGCACTGGCTGCCCTTCCAGAGGTCCTGAGTTCAATTCCCAGCAACCACATGGTGGCTCACAACCAACTATAATGGGATCTGATGCCCTCTTCTGGCATAAAGAGTCCCTCCTCCCTTTAATGCCCACCTACACCATGAAATCATGGGAGCAGATGGCACTAAGGGGGCCCAGATGGGGCTGGAGAGATGGCTCAGCAGTTAAGAGCACTGGTTGTTCTTCCAGAAGACCCGGGTTCAATTCCCAGCACCCACATGGCAGCTCACCATTGTCTGTCTATAATTCCAAGATCTGACACCCTCACACAGACATACATGCAGGCAAACACTAATGCACATAAAATTAAAAAAAGAAAAAAGAAAAGAATGGGGCGAGGTACTTGGAAGGACGGCGCCTTACCAAACAGGATGGTGGAGATCCTCCTCTGGGCATACATGGTGAAGCCTTCGTTGAGCCAGAACTCCCCCCAGTTGGCATTTGTGACCAGGTTCCCAAACCAACTGTGAGAGATCTCATGGATGATGACGTCCGCTAAGGAGCGGTCCCCTGCCAGGAGGCAGGGGGTGACAAAGGTCAAACAAGGGTTCTCCATTCCTCCAAACGGAAAGGACGGCGGCATGAAGAGCAAGTCATACCTGCCAAGAAACTGGAGGTCACAGGAGGCCCTGACTCCAGAGCAGACCTCACCTCCCCGGCCTCAGAGATCCAGGGCTGCGGCTGCTAAAGCGACAGAATCAACCTCAGGCCCAGCCTGGGCCTCCGGGTCCTTCCCGGGAAGCTTCCCTGCCTCTGTGTCCACCTCCATGAGCATGCTGCCTTTAAAAGTGTGAGCATGTTCTCAGCTCCCTCACACTCCCCTCACTGGAGGGGTCATAAAGACCACCCTGTATCTTCTAGCCCACAGCTTGAAGATGTTAAAGTAACCTCCCGCACAGGGGAAGAGCATGGATGCAGAGGCCCTGGGCTTCTCCACTCTCCTACCTCTAGCTCAGCAGCACTTCAAAAACCATCCCTCCCCGGTCCTTTCTAACAAAGCAGCCACTTGGAGCCTGGCTCGTCCCTCCCTCTTGGCTTCCTCCTGCCCTGCGTTTCTGGGATTGGAAAGCCTTGCTCTAGGAGACGGAAGGAAGGGAAGCAGCCCCAGGAATGTGGGAAACAGCTACTCAGTTTCACAAAACACATCTGTTCACTGATACCACACCTTCCCCAAACATAGGGTCCGAAAAGCTTCTCTCCCGTTGCCAGAAATTCTTCTATCACCCCATTGTACTCCTTCTTGGCATCTTCAAGGAGGCAGGGCTCTGCCCACACCCGGCTCCTAAGCACAGAGAGGCGGAAGAATGCTTAGAGAACGCTGTGGCAGCCACATGAACCACCTGTAGACACTGTCCTTGCTCCCATATCTGAGCCAATGCAATGTGGCCACGTGGCCGGCCACGCAGACAGGAGAGGTAAGATCACCCTTTGCTTAGCCCCAAAAGGCTGCTCATCATGCCTGGGTATGAGACTCTAAGATCGCCTTGGGGAGGTGCCAGTCAGCCCCTCTAGGCAACAGGACATGAAGTCCGTGGCTTCCACGCTGAGTTCAATGCTGCAGAAATGAAGACGAAATGAAACAGAATATGTATGAATCGGGTCCATAATTTCAGCACTGAAGAAGCTGAAGCAGGAGGATTGCTGAGAGTTCCAAGACAGCTAGGGCTATAGAGTGAGACCCTATTCCAAAAAAAAAAAACAAAACAAAACAAAATAATAGCAACTAAAAAGGGTGGAATATAAGAGGCCTTATAACATGATACAATTTCTTTCCTTCTTCTTATTTATAGGATAGACGAAAGAATCCTGATAATAGTTGGGTGTGGTGGTGGTACACCCTTTCAATCCCAGCACTTGGGAGGCAGAGGGAGGTAGACCTCTGTGAGTTCCAGGCCAGCCTGGTCTACATGGAGAGTTCCAGGGAAGCCAGACAGGGCTACACAATGAGACACCCCCCCCCCTCTCTCACACACACACACACACACCTGATAATAGAATCTCTGGAATTAAAATTTGTCTTCTGAGGGGCTGGAGAGATGGCTCAGTGGTTAAGAGCACTGGCTGCTCTTCCAGAGGACCCTGGTTCAATTCCCAGCGCCCACATGGCAGCTCACCACTGTCTGTAACTCCAATTCAAGGGTATCTGACACCCTCACCCAGAGTATATACAGGCAAAACACCAGTGCACATTAAATAAATAAATAGATCTTTAAAAAAAAAAAAAGTCTTCTGAGAGAAACCTATCAATATTAATGGGAAAGTTGCCAGTTCTTTTAGGTGCCAAATGGTATTGTGATTTTACTTCATAGCTAGAATGGGCTTTATTCCTCAGAGGGCACTATGATTTCTTCATCTTTAAAAGGTCTAGAACAGGGCCAGCAAGATGGCTCAGGGGCTAAAAGCTCCTGCTGCCAAGTCTGATGACCTGAGTTCTGAGACTCACATAGTGGAGAGAGAAAAGTGAGTCTGGCTAGTATCCTCTGATCAACATGTACACCACAGTGCTCATGCATGTATATGTGTGTGAACATACACAAATAAATGTAAATGTAGCAGGGCAGTGGTAGTGCATGTCTTTAATCCTAGCATTCAGGAGGCAGAGGCAGGAGGATCTCTGTGAGTTCGAGGCCAGCCTGGTCTACAGAGCGAGATCCAGGACAGGAACCAAAAAGCTACATGGAGAAACCCTGTCTCAAAAAACAAACAAACAAACAAACAAAAACCAAAACAACAACAAAAGTAAATGTAATTATGTAATTTTAAAAATTAAAAATGAGCCGGGCGGTAGTGGCACACATCTTTAATCCCAGCTCGGGAGGCAGAACCAGGCGGATCTCTGTGAGTTAGAGGCCAGCCTGGGCTACAGAGTGAGTTCTAGAACAGGCACCAAAACAACACAGAGAAACCCTGTCTCAAAAAACCAAAAAAAAATTAAAAATGATCCAGGATAAACAAAAACAAGCCCATGTATAAATAAAATTAGTATGACAAAGCAGGTGTGTTTACAATGTTCAACATATGGTCCCTTCAAGTTTTTATAATTTGAATTTTTCATAAAAAACGAGAAATAGTGAGAAAGGTGGTATACATTTATAATACTAGCATTTACATTTTTATTATGTTTATTGATGTGAATGTATGATATGTATGTGCCATGCACACATGTGCTCCGCACTATGTGCGTGGGGGAGTCCTCAAGTTCTACCGTGGAGGTCCCAAGGATTGAGCTCAGATTATCAGGCTTGGTGGCAAGCACCGTTACCCAATGAGCTATCTTGCTGGCCCTTTAATCCCAGCATTTGGGAGGCTGAGGCAGGAGGATTGAGAGCTGGAGGCCAGGCTGGGCTACACAGGAAGACCCTGTCTCAAGCAACCAACCAAAGAGTAAAGACAGGAAAACAGGTGAGGAGCGAGAAGCGCTATCACCATCAAGAAGACACAGCTGAGGGGCTGGAGAGATGGCTCAGAGGTTAAGAGCACTAGCTGCTCTTCCAGAGGTCATGAATTCAATTCCCAGCAACCACATAGTGGCTCACAACCATCTGTAATGAGACCTGGTGCCCTCTTCTGGTGTTCAGGTACATGCAAGCAAGCAGAACACTGTGTATAGATTAAAAAAAAAAAAAAAAAAAAAAAAGAAGAAGACACAATTGAGCAAAAAGTCAGGGCTGAGAGAGCCAGGGCTGAGGAGAGAGCCAGTTACGGCTCCAAGGATGGGCTGACACCAGGATTCAGGACCCCTGAAGCCAAGGCCTGCGCCTCAACCTTGTGTAAGTCTGTAGTCATAGCCTCAGTTTGACTATCCACACATGGATACAAATATTATCAGCCTCACTGAGTCTGGGTAAAGATTAGGAGGGAGCATCCAGAAAAGGGCTTTTGGGGTACACCCTCCTCTTTCTTTCTTTCCTTCTTTCTTTCTTTCTTTCTTTCTTAGATTTATTTATTTATTATGTATACAGTGTTCTGCCTACATGCATGCTTGCAGGCCAGAAGAGGGCACCAGATCTCATTACAGATGGTTGTGAGCCACCGAGTGGTTGTTGGGAATTGAACTCAGGACCTCTGGAAGAGCAGCCAGTGCTCTTAACCGCTGAGCCATCTCTCCAGCCCCCACCCTCCACTTTCTACCCAGTATCCTCTTGTGGTGCCAGGGCCCACCTGGGATAGAAGGGGTCCTGTGACAAAAGACCCTCGTGTTTAATATAGAGCACGAGACCCCTGGGATGTGAACAATGGCTGTCCACCGGACAGGGGAAGGAGATGTCACCAACATTAGCTTACTTCTTTTTGTTTTGTTTTCTGAGACAGGGTTTCATGGAGCCCAGGCTGCTCTCCAAATCACTATGTGGCTGTGGAGGACCTTGAACTTTGGATTCTCCTGCCTCCACTTTGAAAGTGCTGGGATTACAGGCCTGTGCCACCATACCTGGCTTATGCAGTGTTGGGGATCAAACCCAGGGCTTCATGCATGCAAGACAAGCATTTTATTAGCTGAGCTACATGCCCAAACCATCATCATCACTAGTTAAATGGATCGTATTACTTTGTTTGACATGCTTTTGTGTCAATTATATGATATGCTTAGAACCTGCCATATTCCCATTATGATTCGTTCATATACCTGGTTTGTTTTTAAGATAGAGTCTCATTGTGTAGCACTGGATGGCCTCAAACTCACAGAGATCCTATTGCCTCTGCCTACTTCATACTTTGGTAAACAGAACATTTGTTAGGGCAAACACATCCTCAAACCACATAGCTTTCCTTATCTTTTTCCCCTGGTTGCAAAGATGACCTCCCTGTCTATTAGGAAGAGGGTAATGCCTTCTCTTTCAAGATTGGCATTGTAGTGCTGGGGTTAGCTCAGGGTTAGAGTGTCGGTCTATCTAGCACGCTTAAGGCCCTGGGTTTGACCCTCAGCACATCAAAACAACAACTATCAGAACTTGCACTTTCCTGAATGTGTGTGTTGTCAGCAGGCACCAATGGAATCCCGCTTATTATCCTACCTGACACCTAGCAGCTGATGTAATTCACCACTAGCGGTGCAGAGCCTTGCTATGAAAAAAAAATGAGGCTTGTAATGAATCTTATAGAAGACACCACTGCCTTCAGAGCTAAGGAACAAGAGAGCCAAGAAAGGAGCCTGTGCTTTGCAATCCAACCTTTGACCCTTTCACAGCAGGATTAAGCTGCAGAGGTAGATGACATGAAAATTGAGAAAACCTATTTTCTCTGTTTTAGACAGGCTGTATTATTCTATATGGCCCAGGCTGACTTTGAACTGGAGACTTTCTGTCTCAGCATCACTAGTAGCTGGGATTACAGGTGTGTGCTACTATACCCAGCTCATGGCCAAAGTTTTTAATCTCAAGAAACAGTACAAAAGCTGCGTGGCGGCGGCTGCACATGCTTTTAATCCCAGCACTCAGGAGGAAGAGGCAGAGGGATCTCTGTGAGTTTGAGGCCAGCCTGGTTTACAGAGCAAGTTCCAGGACAGCCAGGGCTACACAGAGAAACCCTGTCTCGAAAAAGAAAGAAACTGTACAAAATACTTTCTTGTCTCCATTAAATTTACCCAGTATCAGGACAACAAAACATACATCTAGACGGAGGCACCAGCAGCAAGCAGAAAGGACAGTCCTTTCTTTCTTTAAAAGAATGCAAGGAGGGAGCTGGAGAGATGGCTCAGCGGTTAAGAGCACTGACTGCTCTTCCAGAGGACCTGGGTTCAATTCCCAGCACCCACATGGTCCCACATGGCTGCTCCCAACTGTCTGTAACTCCAGTTCCAGGGGACCCAACACCCATGGCAAAATACCAATGTACATAAAATAAAAATAAAAAATTTTTTAAAAGATACAGTACAAAAAAAAAAAAAAGATGCAATGAGGCCAGGCGGTGTTGACTCATGCCTTTAATCTCAGCACTCGGGAGGCACAGGCATGCAGATCTCTGTGAGCTCAAGGCAGCCTGGTCTACAGAGCAAGTTCCAGGACAGCCAGAGCTACACAGAGAAACTCTGTCTCAAAAAACAAAACCAAACAAAAAGGCAAGGAAATCAAAGCTGGAGAAAAATGGGCTTCGGCACAGGGATATAATACTGTGGCTAGAAGGGCACTCAGTACTGAAAGTTACTAGTCGAGATCAGTCTTCTGGAACTACCACGAGCAGCTGCGCTCACCCATGAGCCTCTGCTCCAGCTCCAGCCGCTGCGGCTACACTAGCAGGGCAGGTGGTCTCCTTGCAGACAACAGGCTGACACATGGAAGGAAAGGAGGGGAAAAGGAGGAGCAGAGAGGAAGAAGAGAAAAACAAGACCGTCCGCCAGCCTCCTCATGACCGAAGACAACAGACACAGGATTCCACACTGTCCCTAGAGCCACTTCAGCGGGACCACTGGGCCAGAGTCACCCCTGCCTCTGGGGTCAAACCCCACCTTGCCCGCTGGCTGTGTTTCTTACCTGGGTCCAACCTCAGCTGAAGCCAGATCTCCAATGGCCAAAGCTATCAGATAGGAGGGGATGGGCTGGTCCATCTGGAAGAAGAACTTATTTGGACCCCTCTTCTCCCAAGTGCTTGCGCTCATCACAGCTGTGAAGCCATCTGGGACCTGGCGACAGAGAAAGCGTAGGAAGCCTCACCTGGAAAGTCTCCTCCGTTCGTTTGTCTATTGCCTTGTTCTTTTTAGAGGCCAAATTTTGCTACACAGCCCTGGCTAGCCTGGAACTCGCTGTGCATACCAGGCTGACCTGGAACTCCTGACGGTTCTGTGTAGCTGACCCCCCCCCCCCCCCATCCCCACCCTCTGCATTCTGAGTGCTTGAATTACATATATGTACTACCATGCCTGGCAAAAAGGTCCTTTGGACTGACTTGAAGAATAGTAGGATGAGAAACCTGCACAGTGATGGTAACAACTCTGAGTTCATCCCGGAGAACAGGAAGGCTTCAAAAACCTTACACTGATGGAGCTTGAACTGTGTAGAATTTCTGTCCATGGGCCAGGCATGGCAGCACATGTCTTTAATACCAGCACTCAGGAACCAGAGGTTCTCTGAGAGTCTGAGCCAGCCTGGTCTACATAGTGAGCTCCAGGCCAGCCAGGGCTACATGGTGAGATGCTGTCTTAAACAACAAAATCTGCAGATGGAAAGCTCTACAAGGGAACAATTTTTCAGATTCTGGATTTCAGATACACTGGATCAATGTAATAATTTATCAACCAAAATGGGACCTGATGGACCTGAAATTATAGTCTCTGTCTCTATATTTCTCTGAGACAGGGTCTGACTGGGTAGCCTAGTCTGGCATTGAACTCATGATTTTTTTTTTTTTTTTTTTTGAGACAGGTTTCTCTGTTTAGTCCTGGCTGTCCTGGAACTCACTCTGTATACCGGGATGGCCTTGAACTCAAGAGATTCACCTGCCTCTGCCTCCTGAATGCTGGGATCAAAGGCGTGTGCTACCACCACCTGGCATGAACTCATGATCCTTATGCCTTTGCCTCACAAGGCTAGGATTACAGGCACGTACTTCCATGATTACAGGCATGTACTTCCATGCCTGGCTTCTTTTTTTTAAACATTAAAAACCAAAACAAACCATTTATTTTATTATGTTGTTTGGGTTTTTTTTTTAAGATTTTTTTTTTTTTTATGTGTATGGGTATTTTACCTACATGCCAATTGAACCTGGGTCCTCTGGAGGAGCACCCAGTGCTCCTAACCACTGAACCATTTCTCTAGCCCCTATTTTATTATGTTTTAATTATATGCAGATGTGTGTGTGTGTGTCTGTGTTTGTATGTGGATACGTGCATATAAATGAAGGTGCCTATGGAGGCCAGAGGTGCTGGGTCCTGGGGAAACAGTCATCGACAGTTGTAAGCCACCAGATGTGAGTGCTAAGAACCAAACTAGAGTCCTCTGGAGGAGGAGAAAGTGCTTTTAACTGCTGAGCCACCCTCACTCATGATCCCAAGGGCAAACACACTAAGTCAGTCACCTTACCTCAATAAGAGCCGAATACTTGCACTTCACTGCAGGGGTGTCGAAGCAAGGGAAGAAGGCTCTGTTTAACACCGCCTGGCCCTGGGTGTAGACAAAGGGTTTCTTCTTTCCCGCTGTCTGCTCAGGAGCCAACCAGCAAACCTGAGAGAACAGGGGGGCGCTTCAGAACAGACAGCTCACGAACAGAGAAAGGAGTGGGCCGACTCAGGACATTTTCAGGTAATCCTTAAGACCTTCCTGCCAGCCAGTCTGTCCCTGGCCAGAATGTCCTCTCCTATTGTGTGTTTAATCTACCCTGGAATATGCCATGGTCTCGTGCCCACATCACAGGGCAGACACTGCATTCCCCGCCGTACCCATGGCATCTCAGGAATCCCGTCCTCCTCACTGTTTCCCATCTAACCAGGATTTCGCGCTGCTGACCGAAGAGCAGAACCAGCTAAGAGCTGTCCCTTTGGTTTTGTTTCTGACAGAGTCTTCATGTAGCACATGCAAGCCCAGTATTCTTTTTATGAATACTTAGGAGGCAGTTGGTTCATCCGTGGAGTAAGGTGACTCCAATTCTCTCCCATATCTGGGTAGACTGGCTTTCCCCTTTAAGGTATCTCCTCCAGTGGTCCTTTAGAAAAACCCAGAAGGAGGATGCAGACCTTAATACAGGTGTGGTGAGGCGTCCTGGTACCTTAGTGTCTGGTCCAGCAGAACAACCCATCGGTAGCGCAAGCATATTCAATCACAAACTGGCATTCTGACCATCAGGAGACAGTTTCTAAGGCACAACTGTAGTTTTCTTGGTTACTCCAGATTTCCTTTTTGAGTACCCAAGGTTATGATTGCTGTGGCTATCTCTTAGTTAAGAAAGCTAAGGCTTTACCATGAAAAGAGACAAACCTTACTTTCACCCTTAGCAAAAGGAAATCATATACAACATAGGTAGAACTGTTCGTGTGTGTGTGTGTGTGTGTGTGCGTGTGTGTGTGTCCATTTAAGATTGAAAAATGGATTACACTATTCCAGGAAGGTATCAGAGGTGAAGTAAAATTGTCTATTGTCTGCTTAGGCCTTTAAGGACAAGCAAGAGTCAGATGTTGGAAGGGAAGAGAGAAGCCTCTCTCCAGCAGGTGAGTGGGGAAAGGCAGGTCTGGATGTAGGCTCTGGGAATTGCATATGCTCTGAACAGGCTGGTAGGAGGGAGGCCTGAGCAGGAGGGAGGCCTGAGCAGGAGGGAGGCCTGAGCAGGAGGGAGGCCTGAGCAGGAGGGAGGCCTGAGCAGGAGGGAGGCCTGAGCAGGCAGAAGGAAGGGCTTTGAAAACAAGCATCTGAGACATTTTAAAGATGCAGAGGAAAGCCACATTGGATGTTGGGTTTTTCTTTGCCTGCTTTTGTCCAAGTGCAATAAATTTAACCAGTCTTCCTGTAAACACGGTGCAGTGTGGAAGGCAGGAGAGGAGACATGGTAGAAAAAGCTGATGTAGGTAACAGAGGCCAGCACAGTCACTCAGGTGGCACATTAATACAGACCCAATACAATGTGATCCAAGTGGCACTTTGCCTCTGAATTTCCCCTCTGCAATGCACAATTCCTGCCTAGTCACAGGGAAAACGTCGGGAAAATTCCAGTAGAAGGGCATTCTATAACATACCTGAACAGCACCCTTCCGAATTGTTAAGGTCATAAAAAAACAAGGGAAAGCCTGAGAAACTGTCACAGTGCTAAGACAAACCCAAAGATGCACAGCTAGCCCAGCATAGTGGCACATGCCTGTAATCCCAGCACTGGGGAGGCAGAGACAGGTAGATCTGAGTTCGAGGCCAGCCTGGTCTGTAAATCGAGTTCCAGGACAGCCAGGGCTACACAGAACATAGAGAAACACTGTCTCAAAACAGGTCAAACCCTACCCCCCCCTCCAACAACAACAAGAACAAAGATGCACAGCTAGCTACAATGTGCTGCTTTGGCCGAGATCAGGAAGCAGAAAAAGAAGTAGGTTAAAAAACAAAACAAAACAAGAAACTAAGATGCCGGTAAAGCTTGTGGATCCTGGTTAGTACTGTCAGCTAGTATATATCAGTACTGACTGAACTGAGCTAACGGGGAACGGAAACTGTGGAGGGCATGTATAAGAGCTGTGCACTATCTGCTCAGTTATGCTGTTAATCTGCCTTTTATTGTTATTTTGAACTTGCAGTCCTCCTGCCTCAGCTTCCTGAGTACTGGGCCTCCTGGCATGTGCCATCATGCCTGGCTGGTATCAGGCACTTACAAGAAGAAAATTCACCCAGGTTTGTCGAGAATTTATACAAGTGCCTAGCACATCTTTATTATACATATTATAAGCAAAGGTGGTAGAGGGATAATGTGTGTGTGTGTGTGTGTGTGTGTGTGTGTGTGTATATATCTACATATATATTTACCTTAACACACATACATGAGTATGTGTGTGTGTGTGTATATATATATATATCTTTGTTTGTTCTTAAATGATGAGAAAACAATGATGTAATGAAGAAACCTGACGGTGTGCGCACTACAGACCAGGTGAATTCTGGGAGAAGATGCTTCAGTGCTTGGTGAGAACACTCATCAGAATGATTGCAAAGGACAGGAACGCCTGCTAACGCCTTAGGTGAAGACCCTCACAGTCCGAAGGACAATCCTTTGTAGAGAGCAGCCTCAGCTGTGATGTCTGTTTAACCTTGGATTCCACCTTTAGAATGGGCAGATTCAGGGAGGGTCTAACTTTCCCATCCTGTGTAATTTCTAGCTCCCAGGGAAAATTAGGAATCAATATATAGCAGAGGAGCTGAAGATGCGCCCTCCAGGCACTGAAGGAGACGTTCCTTTGCCTTTGGGGCTAGGTTGCACCAAGTGATTTTGACTTTCAGTTTCCCTAACAAGTTCTAGCATGAGGCTCTTTTATTCCTCCAGCCTTAGAAGGAGGAAGTGGAACTTTTCCTTGGGTCAGTTCTAAGAGGAAGGGGGAACTGCTAGCTGGATAAGCAAGTTCCAATAGTCTGCAGAAAGCTTTGGTGAACTTTGTAACCCAGCCAGAGACTGTCACTCTTACAGATGTCCGCTGCGTACTCTTAACCTTACCTTCCAATATCTGTCTTACTCCGAAAACCTTAAGACTTAAGAACCGATCAACAGAGAAGATTAAATTATAATAAAGCCTAGACTACTCTAATTACACATTCTCATTCTTGCTCGGATTCTTTTAAGTCCAAGGCAGGATTTCAAAGGAGGAAGCAAAAATAATTATCTAGGCTTCAGGGCAGTTTGAACTTGTGCAACCTGAACGGCAGGATAATAAAGGACCGTGTCAGCATCTAGCTAACTAACCAACATCGTCCAGACTCCATCAAGAATAACTATATATAAAAAACAAACAAACATAAAGTTTGTGTGTGAAGTTTCTCATCCGGGAAAGACACACAGAATAGCGGATGAGTTGGTTTAACACGTGTGTGACAGTGGCACTTTAAGACAGATCCACAGAGGCCAGGAAGGCGGAAGGAGTGGCAGGAGGAACACAGCACCGGCTGGAGAGGTCCGAGCCCAGGGTGGGGACCCGGGGGCCATGATCCAGAGCCGGCCACCGGGGAAGGAGAGTCTGCGCCTGGGGATCTCCTGCGGAAGCTGCAGAACAGGGCCAGGTTTCCTGCTCTGGGACTCTGGGAGACTCAGGGGCCACAGGCTGGCCAGGAGGGTTGGGAAAGGCCTGTGGCCCCGGCGCACCGCGCGCACTCACCCCGGGTCCCTCCCCGACGCGGTAGGTGAGCTCCAGCTGGAAGCGCTCGGCGGCGCGGCAGGGCTGCGGCAAGGCCACGCACAGGGCCTGGCCATAGTGCGAGAAGGGCTGCGTGTGGAAAGGCACGGGCTCCGCGATCGGCTGTTGGTCTCCGGGCTGCCCCCGCCGCAGCGTCGCCGCCGTCACCTCCAGGCAGCTGTGCGAGTCGAGCCGTAGCTCCGAGGCGCCCTCGGGCAGCAAGCATCGCAGCTCCAGCTCCACCGTGCCGCTCAACCCGCGGCTGCCCGGGCCCGGGCCCGGAGGCCCGAACTCGGCCCGCAGGTCCAGGTGCAGGTGCAGGATCTCGAAGGCGCGGAAGCTGGAGGCCGAGGCCACGTCCACCGCCTGTGCCGAGTGCAGCGGCCGCCGCACCGCGCCGCCGCGGCTGCCGGGTCCACAGCTCTCCATGGCTCCGGAGCGGTTGCTCACCCGCCGGGAAGACAAGCGGCTCCGCGGGCCCCCGCAGGCTCCGCCTCGAGGCGACGCGCCACCGTGGGCCCCGCCCCCCAGGACTGCGGGCGGCCACCGCCCCTAGCAAATCGGAGCCACACCGACGGTCCCCTCCCTTGCAGCGCACAGGCCCTCTTTCACGTGAGTTCCTAAGCCACCTGGCCGAGGACGGTGGCGTGGTGGGTCGGCCTTTGCCCAGGTCCCCCTGGCGGATTCCCCCATCCTCTGAGCAATCAGTAGAATGCGGGGGACGGAACCTGGATTGGAAGGGTCTGTGTTTGAAATCCCACTCGCTCTCTCCACTGGGCCAGTTATTAGGACGATGTGTGACATCTTGGACAAATCGCCTGTGAAACAGGAGTTGCAATGCTATTTCTCTTTCGCCTCATAAACAGTCATCTGTGACCCGAGGCATGCTGGTCTTTACAGTTTTGTGCCAGCACACACACACACACACACACACACACACACACACACACACACACACACACACACACACACACAAAAACTGTTCTATTTTACAGATAGATATATCTATATCTGTTATATCTATACCTACTTTACATTGTACTTTTTTTTAAAGATTTATTTATTACGTTTACGGTGTTCTGTCTGCATGTATGTCTACAGACCAGAAGAGGGCGCCAGATCTCATTACAGATGGTTGAGAGCCACCATGTGGGTGCTGGGAATTGAACTCAGGACCCCTGGAAGAGCAGTCAGTGCTCTTAACCTCTGAGTCATCTCTCCAGTCCCTCTTTTTTTTAACTTTGGATGTGTATGGGTGTTTTGCCAGTGTGTATGTGTGCCTAGTACCTGCAGAGGCCAGAAGAGGGAGTTGGGTCCCCTGGAACTGGAGTTATAGACCTTGTAAATTACCATTTGGGTGCTGGGAACCAAACCAGGTCCTCGCCAAGTGCTCTTAGCGACCTTATTTTATGTGCATTGGCATCAGAGCCCCTGGAACTGGAGTTACAGACAGTTGTGAGCTGCCATGTGGGTACTGGGAATTGAACCCTGGTCCTCTGGAAGAGCAGCCAGTGCTCTTAACCACTGAGCTCATAAAGTTTATATTTTTAAATGAGTTCATTAAGGCGGGGCTAGTTAGTCCTCACTAGCTATTGAAATAATATGTAACTTTTTTTTTTTTGGTTTATTCGAGACAGGGTTTCTCTGTGTAGCTTTGCACCTTTCCTGGAACTCACTTGGTAGTCCAGGCTGGCCTCGAACTCACAGAGATCCGCCTGGCTCTGCCTCCCGAGTGCTGGGATTAAAGGCGTGCGCCACCACCGCCCGGCATATGTAACTTTTTAAAAAAAAAATTTATGGTACTATGTAGCCCAGGGTGGTTTTAAACTGACAATCCTGACTCAGCCTGAGGAGTTCTGAGATTACACCACTCTTTAATAACATTTGTTTATCCATGTTAGATCAAATCTTATGTATCCTAGGCTGCCATCGAGCTATACCCTCATCCCTGCACTGAAAGCTTAGGGCTCATTACATGTCACTTGTATTCTCCTTGTGTGTCTCAGTGTATTAACCTAGCCACATCTCCACATTTTCTCTTCTGTGCCGGTGCCTTACAGTAGCCACATATGAAGAAATGATGCACAGCTATTTCCTAGAGATGAAAACATTCCGTCACAGAGGAAGAGAGAAGGTCATACAATTTAGGTAGCTCAGAAAGTGACAAGGTTCACAATGTAATAAAAACAGGAGTCCAGTGGTGGCGCTCACCTTTAATCCCAGCACTCGGGAGGCAGAGGCAGGTGGATCTCTGTGAGTTCCAGGTCAGTCTGCTTTAAAAATTGAGTTCCAAGACAGTTAGAGCAGTTACACAGAAAAACGCTGTCTTGAAAAACCAAAAAGAAGGGAGTTGGGGATTTAGCTCAGCGAGCACAAGGTCCTGGGCTCGTCCTCAGCTCAGGGAGGGGTTGGGTGGGTGGGAGGGATGGGGTGGGTGGGTGGGTGGGTGGGTGGGTGGGTGGTGGTGGTGGTGGTGGTGGTGGTGGTGGTGGTGGTGGTGCACGCCTTTAATCCCAGCACTAAGGAGGCAGATCCAGGCAGATCTCTGTGAGTTCGAGGCCAGCCTGGTCTACAGAGCAATTCCAGGACAGGCACCAAAACTACACAGATAAACCCTGTCTCGAAAAACCAAAAAAAAAAAAGAAAAGAAAAACCAAAAAGAAATATTCCATGTTAGGGAGAGGATACTCTGTCTTGTGGAGCTGTGGGTAAGTTTCTTTGGCCAGGCCAAGGTGTACTAGCCATACTGAACAGATGCTTGTTTATGTCTCTCCAGGAAAATGAAAACAATGGTTAGGAAGTTGTCTATCTCCGTTATCTACCTAAAGATAAAATTTCCCCCAGTACTTTCCATGGAACCTAGAGCTCACACACGCTGGGCACATGATTTACCACTGAACGATACTCCCAGGCCCCCTCCTTTCTCTTTGAGACAAGGCCTCATTAGTGCAGCCCTGGCTGACCTAGACCTCTCCATGTAGACCAGCAGGCCTCGATCTCAGAGATGCATCTGCCTCTGCCTCTTGACTGCTGTGACTCAGGTCTTACATGCTTGGATCTTTTTTTCCTAACTTAAGGCAGTGTAAGGTCTGAGTAGCAGGGACACCCCGGTAACAACAGAGCACCTGTGTATTATTATATTGGTGAAGTGTTACGTGCTGTTTAAGCTTACCAAGAAGTTGGCTCAAGAAACCTGGCCCCTCCACTTCAAATCCAAATGTGTTAAAATGTCCTCCAGACTTCCCCTGTCCGCCGCCCCACCCCATCCCAACTACATAAAGGAGAGAAGGAAAAACATCAAGCAGTCAAGAGTACTGAACATCTAGTCCTTTACTATTGTTTATCCCATCTGATAGGAATTCCTGTGGTAGGGTAGGGAAACTTACCCAGCGAAAGCAGCCAGATCAGGAATTGCAGCTGATTCCTGACCTCCCCAGCCACTTCTGGCTGGATGTAAGTCTTCATTTGATGTTATCATTGCTTTCTGACCCCACTACTCCGGTCATCACTGCTGAATTTGTAAAAGCCTGACCTGATGATGATCTGCTGTCTATCCACTACTTGCTATCAGTTCTTTTATTTTGCTGTCGACATGCCTAATCACTCACCCGAAACACAGCATGGCCATCATGATTCTCCAGACTGTACAGAACAACATGTCACCTAGACTTTGGATTCTCTATTTAGTCTCCAATAAAAGGCACTAGTGCTTTTCAAAGTAGAGACAGATTCCAGGGTTTGGGTCAGGGAATATACAAAATGATCCTAGAGCAGTGCTTCTCAACCTGTGGGTCGGGACTCCTCTAGGGGTTGAATGACCTTTTCATAGGGGTCACCTAAGAACATCAGGAAAACACAGATATTTAATTATGATTCATAACAGTGAATAATTTTATGGTTGGGGGTCACCACAACATGAGGAACTGTATTAAAGGGCCATAGCATTAGTAAGGTTCAGAACCACTGTTCTAGAGCATCTTGTGGTCAAGAAAGTAAGAAAGCTAAAATCCAGAATAATAATAGGAAAAATTGAGGGCTGTGTGGTGGTTTGAATAAAAATGGCTCATATATTCGGATGCTTAGTCATCAGGGAATGGAACTCTTTGAAAGGATTAGAAGGATTAGGAGGTGTATTGTATTGAGTCTTTCTCTGTCCCACCAGCCAGCTCTCAAATAATGACACAGAGACTTATTAATTATGAAAGCTTGGCTTTAGCTTCGGCTTGTCCCACTAGCTCTTATAACTTAAATGAACCCATTTATTTTAATCTACATTCTGTCACATGGCTTGTTACCTCATCTCTCCATGTTGCTTCCCGAGTCTGATTGGTGTCTCTGCCTCCTTCTTCTTCCCAGAGTTCTCTCTCTGCCCAGAAGTCCCACCCATCCCTCCTGCCTAGCTATTGGCCATTTAGCTTTTTATTTCACCAATCACAACACACATTTTCACACAGTGTACAAATATCCCACAAGTGTGTCCTGTGTCACTGGGGTGTGCTTTGAGTTATCAACATCTCATGCCAGGCTCAGTGTCTCTCTTTCTGCTGCCTGTGGATCAGGATGTAGAACTCTCAGCTACTTCTCCATGACTGCCATCTGTGCCACCATGCACTCCACCATGATGATAATGGAAGCTCGGAAACCGTGAGCAAGTCTCCAGTTAAATGTTTTTTTCTTCAAAGAATTGCCTCCTGGTGTCATGGTGTCTCTTCACAGAAGTAGACCAGTGAATGAGACAACTGGGAATACAGCTAAGTGGTAGAGTGCTTATTTGTTATGTGTGAAATCCTAAATTCAAGTCCCATCACTAAAAAGGAAAAAAATTATGTTAAGTTAGGCGTGGTGGGGCACTGTCTTTAATCCCAGCACTCAGGATGCAGAGACAGTTTGAAATCAGCCTGGTCTAGAGAGTGAGTCTCAGGACAGCCAGGACTACACAGAGAAACCCCTTCTTGTTGCAGGATATTTGACCACATTGTGAACCCCAAGACTGCATTATTTACCAGAAAAACCTGTTTCTAGTTGTGGTGTGGCTCAGCCCTAGCACACACCTTCAATCCAAGAGCTTTCTGCTGGAATATTGCAAGCAACCAGTTGACAGGAAATGAATATAAGATTATTAAGAAAAAAACATAGAGAGTAAGAGGGAGTCAGGAGGATGGATAGAAAGACACAGAGGAAGTAGAAGGGAGTTTGAAGAAGAACTGGTTTGGGACAGGAGGAGAGAGGAGAGGATTCAGGAACAATGGTGACCAGAGAGGAGGAAGGTCAGCTGGGTGCTTTCTCTGCCTTTCTGAGCTAGCAGGCTCTCACCCCAGCATCTGGCTCCCAAGCCTTTATTGGTAAAATCAAATGACTGAGATTTTTTTTTCTTTTTCTTTTTTTTTTTTTTTTTTGTGTGTTTGTTTGTTTGTTTTGCGACAGAGTTTCTCTATGTAGTTTTGGTGCCTGTCCTGGATCTCACTCTGTAGACCAGGCTGGCCTCAAACTCACAGAGATCCGCCTGGCTCTGTCTCCCAGTGCTGGGTTTAAAGGCATGTGC